TAACTTCTAAAGTGATACAGAAAATCAATTCTGCCACTGAAAACACTGCCTAATTTACCAATGTCCATTTTAAACACCACCACCGCCATGGCACCTTTCCCAACTGGCATATGCTATCTCCCTCACTTTACTAACCCAACAGCACTTTGAACCTCTGTGATAGCATTTAGCTGATTCTGCCATTTTCAGCCCAGTCTTAACCATTTTGCAATGTGTCAGACCTCCCATGGGTGGGATTGTGTCCTCTTTATCTTTGATTCCCCTGGAGGACCTGGTACATAGCAGGGACCATCAACTGTTAACTTGAATGGAACCACCATCAGCATCACTCCAGTTCGGACACGTCTGGCCCATGTGCCATATCCACTACTGAAAACAAAGTGCAAGGAGAGGGCTTCCCTGGTGACGCGGTGGTTGAGAGTCCGCCTGCCGATGCAGAGGACACGGGTTCGTGCCCCGGTCCGGGAAGATCCCACATGCCGTGGAGCGGCTGGGCCCGTGAGCCATGGCCGCTGAGCCTGCGCGTCCAGAACCTGTGCTCTGCAACGGGAGAGGCCACGACAGTGAGAGGCCCGCGTACCGCAAAAAAAAAAAACAAAAAAAAAAACCCAAAGTGCAAGGACAAACTCGACTCATCTTTCTAGACTCTGAATCAGCTTAAACGTTATTTTTCAACCATTCTCTCTTTTTTTCCACATCCTTCTCTCCACACATAACCACAGCAGAAAGAGCAAATAAACACTGAAACCAACTTCATAATGAAATTTCAAACACCTGTGCATCCAGTATTTTCAACTCAGAAGGAAGTAACAATTCATACTGCCTTTAATGAAAGAGTATGCCACTTCTCTAACAGCTTCTCTAGGAACCTACTGCTCCCTCAAATTTATGTGCAATGCTTGCCTGAGTAATCCTGCAGCTCCCCCTGCAATTTCTCGAGGTGTGAAAGTGACTAGGTGCCAGAGGGCCATGGTTACTAGGGATTCTAGGAAAGGGAGTACCGGATCTTGTTCTTCTTTTAATCTCAATTTTTTCCTATCAAATACATGTCTACTGTTTCCAGAACAGCACTGAGCACATAGAATATGACTGATACATGCTTACTGAATTAAACGACTGAATCAGTACAGTTACAGAAGCCTTGGTCCCTTCCTAAACCACACAAAAACAATGAAAATGGAATCTCAGAGCATTACAGATATCAAAGTGTCAATCAAACACTGGGTATTTTCAGTTGATTTTTTTTTTCCAACTCTGGCAAATGGTTTGAAGCTTTTGGCTTATGAAATGATTTTCCAGTTATAAGATCAAGAGAAAATTCACTTCCTCGTTTTTCCATTAAGAATGTAAAATTCTTAATTCTTCCTACTTTCCCTGAAGAAGCTGGTCATCTCAGATTTAAATTTAATTTCATTGTGAATGTCTCTTTAGAGTCTAAACTAAATATTGTGGCATCTACTTTCTTTCTGGGAAGAGTTTTCTCAGATCACGAACTTCCTCCTTGCAGTTTCTAGAGACTATAAACTATTCTCTTGAAGTTAACTCAATCGGGGATAATTGCTCTGGCGTGGATTCACTAGCTATAACAAGAAAAAAGCAAGAGCTTCCAATGAAAGAGTATAAAATAACAACTCTGCTGTCAAGAGCTGCTGTAGAGATTCATTTTCGGTTTTGCCCTGCAGCAGATGTGGTGGAACCAGATGTCTGCAAGCCTTCGTTTGGGGATTCAATCAAACATGCACACGCAGCTAACATTTATGAGCATCTGCTATAACCCTGTCACTGTTGATTGACACTAGGGAAGATGCAAAGATAAATAAACTGCAGCCACAGGCTTGAGAGAGCTCACAGCGCAAGGAGAAGAGGTCTGTTCAAATGTTACGGCACTGCAGAGAAACAAACAACTAATTTTGCCTGGGAGATCCCTCATAGGAGACATTACACTTGACTTGAGACTTGGAAGAAAAGAGCTTTACAAGCAGAAAGGAAAGAAGGGAGAAAGGTCATTCCAAGCAGAGGGAACAGCATATGTATTGATACATAGGCTAGTGAATGAGTATGTCATGATGAGGATGGCAGATATGGAAGTTCCGCTTCATTTGCAGGTGGAATAATGAATATTAATACATCAGTCTGCATAGGGCAATTGGAAAAGGGATTTTTTTTTAAAGTTTTGATTTGCTGCAATTAATGCTGCTATTTTGACTAACACCCGTTGCTCAAAGTAACAGAAAGAGAATCGGGTGACCCACCAGCTAGCCACCTTGGTTGAGCACTTTCACACCTTTCACCTCATTTGTTCCTCACTGCTGTGTCATGAGATGGGGTTCCTTAAGGCCATTCTATGAACAAGAACATGAGGCTCAGAGTTATTGCGGGATTTGCTTAAGCTCACCTCAGTCTGGACTGCTTCAAATCTATTCTCATTGCTCTTCCTTACGTAGCTCCCTTGACAAGTGAAAAGAAAGGGGAGGACAGAGAAAGGCATTTCAGATTTTATACCAAAGCTCTTCTTATCAAATAATTGACTCAAAAGACACTAGAGGTCATCTTACCCGACTTGCTCATTTAATAAATGAGGACTTGAAGCCCAGGTTGTAAAGTGATTTGTCCAAGACCATACAGTTAGTTAATAGCAAATCTGCGGCTAGAACTTTAACATCTTCCATTAGCCTCCTTGCAATTGGAAATCTGCAAAGTTGGAATTTTCTTTAGTTGGTTACATTTGCCTTAAAACCCTTACTCAAAAAAAACCCTTAAATTATCTGTCAATTTGAACACACACACATTCACACTCCACACAGCCTTCTGTACACACTAATGATTACCATAGGTTAGAGAAGAGACCAAAGGATAGTCAGGCAAATCAGAAACTTGGCAAATGAGAAGCAGCTCTTGTGTAGTTTGGAAAGCTTACTGCAGAGACACTCTACGGTGATTGGTCTTTTCTACCCAATGGAAGAGACTGCAAAAGTCTCTCTTGTATGTGCTGTAATAGCATTGCTCAGCATCACTGAAGTTCTGTTGACTTTGTTGCACTTCCACTATTACTGCCTGGAGAAATCGGAGAATGTGCTATCACCTTTCTTTTTACCTGTAGGTGGCAAGTAATCTATTTGAGGGTCAAGATTCCGGATGTTATTGTGGATGATTTGCACATTGAAAGAGAAATATAGTTGGGAAAATTAAGTCCAAGGTATCCCTTTACCAAGTAAAGGAGGAATCTCTTATTGTTTGTTAAGCCTAGAACTACAGAGATGAAAGAACTCAGATTCCTCTGTTGCCAATCAAGGTGTGCTCCATGGACCAGCAGCCTTATCGTCACCAGAAGTTTGCTAGAAATGTAGACTGTCAGGCTTACCCCAGATTCTGCATTACAATATGTATCTTAATCAACCCTAGATTCTGCATTAGAATATGTATCTTAATGAAGATCCCAGGATGACTCATGAACAAGAAAGTTTAAGAAGGATTGTTCTAACCATCCAAAAATAAGGACTGTCTACCCTATTTTTTATGTCATGCCACGTATTTCTTTTTCATATTCTTTTCTGTTCATTTATTCATATGTGCCTATATGTTTATATGTTCATTAATTCATATGTGCCTATATTCTCAGCACCTTTGCTATTTGAAAAATGGAGTTCCTAGAAGTGAATGCTAGACCTCAAAATATTGTTAGAACGATTAGACATTTGACTAAGTCTCTATTCCATTCAAAAGTAATTTCTAACACCACTAAATTAAGCTTAATTCAATGATTGCTTCAATTACCCTTGAGAAATAGATAACTGAATGTTTTTGGTCTTTTGCCTCCATAAAGGTTAAAGCAGATTCCTGGTACCAAGTACAATGTGGTAAAGGGGAGTTTCCCCACACCAGCAAGCAATTCTCTGGACACCAGCAGAGTGTCTCTGACACTATCTACCCAGAGACAGTATCAGATTCTACTGGTTAAGGGTTCACTCTTACAAGACTGTCCCGCCTCCAACCCAGCCCACTTCAGATGCCAGTCACAAGCCAAGGTTGTTACCTGTGCTTCTGAGCAAGCGGCTACAGATCACAGGTACCCACAACCCCCTCCTTGGATTCCATTAATTTGCTAGAGCAGCTCACAGAACTGAGAAACATTTTACTTAATAGATTACCAGTTTGTTTTAAAAGGATATCAGTCAGGAACAGACGAAAGAGACGCACAGGGCAAGGTATGGAGAAAAGACACAGAGCTTCCATGCCCTCTCCAAGCACACCTCTCCCCCAGCACTCCACGTGTTCACCAACCTGGAAGCTCTCCAAACCCCACCCTTTTGGGTTTTTATGGAGGCTGCATTACACAGACACATTTCATTCAAACTCCAGCTTCCCTCCCCAAAGGTCAGGGGATGGGTCTAAAAGGTCTAGCCCTCTCACCACACGTTGGCTCCACTGGCAACCAGCTCCCATCCCTAGGTGCATTTCAAAGGTCACCTCATTAATGAGCCCAAAGTAATCACTCTCAACACTTCGGAAATTCCAAGGGTTTTAAGAGCTCTTAGCCAGGAATTGTGGACTAACACCAAATACATATGAGAAATATATTTTGGTCATCTGAATGACCAACTCCATATTTGTTATAAATCACAGTATATCACAAAGGTAAGACAAGAAACAATCTAATTAGTTATTGAGTGAATTCAGCTCTGTTCCACCAGCTCTTAACAATAATCAATGACTTGGGAGGCATTTCCAATTTTCTTAATGGTATTAAAAATTTTTTAAGAAGTGTATCAATGAAAAAATGTTGCCTGCCACAATAAACAAAGGATATTGCAGCCCTCAGCCACTGCAGCCACCCTCAGCGATGCACCCCGAGGAGACTCAGGATGGGAAAGCATGGGATACTGGCCCCAGATAGCTGAGGTGCATATAAAAAGAATCATTTCAGTGAGCCCAGGCTCTTGCATCTTCCCATACACAGAAAAGCACTAAATTCCTTAACTTGAGATGTGATTTTCTTTAATTAACAGTAATCTTTTGATGTTCTAACTACCTGTTCTTTGTTGCAAAAACTCCTATATATCCTGGTTCCTCCCTAACCTCTTTGGAGCAG